AGATATATATAGATATATAAATATATGTCGGAAAGTTGTTTATTTGTATACATTCAATAAAATTTAATTGTTTATGGACTCTAAAAAAAGAACTTTTTTCCAAAATGTTTAAAATCCAGTCCGAAATTCATTTTTCTATTTGAAGTTAGCCTGTCAGGAAAGTTTTTATAGTGCCATCTATTGATGGTATAATAGAACTGAGAAAACCATTGGGGTACTCTCTTTACAAATTCATACTCCCACCACTAGGCTATTACTCCGATGCGCATGCGCAATAACGTACGATATTTTCGATGTTATTACGATAATTTTTCCTAAAGAGTGCGATAATTCTATCTACTGAACCTCGCAACGCTGGTTAATCATAAGTTCATAGTTGTTCGTACGTTCGTAGTGGTAGGATGTTTCGTTCACGTCTGAAATTCAACGTATCGAGTTTTTCGCAGAAATAGTTATTATTTTCTACGTGTAATACCCTCAAAAGGTTATTGAGATTGATTCATACCATATTATGATTTTTCGCATTTTCTACAGCATAAATTAAGTTGATAAAGTTGTTGAAGGTATGTCTTGAACTAGATGCCACGCCATTTTATTATTTTTTTTTTTTGATTACGTGTTTTTGTTTTATTTCATGTTTCATTTATTTAATACGACTTTTCATACAATAATTGTTAAATCGTTATTTCTCTATTTTTACAGATTGAAGGTAAACAAGTGTGGAGATAGAAGTTCATTTTGGTGCTGCTGAAATAACATACCTGGTCTCTCTTATGGTGTTTTATCTGTTAACTTTTCATCTTGGAGGCTTTTGTAGTTGATTAATTAAGGTGAGCATACATGCTATATTATATATGTAGCAGAAAAAAGAGTTCGGCATTACTTTAACGATGTATTATGCATGTTATTTACTAGGAAGGCTAAATTAATTATATCTGGATACTTTTTCATAAGATTTCATTTTAGAAACGTTTGAAGGACTCCAGATGCCATTAAATTATAGAGCATTGGCTGTGTTAGTCGATAATTGCTCCAGAACGTAGCCGTACCTATGGCCCTAAAAAAAGCATGAAAATGCCATTTTTCTATTGAGAATGGAGCTGTTGCTGAAAAAAGGATTTATGACAATGAACTGGTATGAAACAGTATCAATTAAAAATAGTAAATGGGGTCCCAGAAACATTAATTTCTTAGACATTTGTAACTTGCCTAAATAGACAACTTTTAAACAATGTTTTAGAAATGGCAGATGTAGAACAGCAGAATTAATATGGAATTGATCTTTCAGTGTGAATGTTATTGACTTTCTTGCTTTAAAAATGGTAATTAATTACTTTTTCTTGTCTGTTTCTATAGATGGTTCATTAAATGAGAAGGAATTAATTTTGGTGCCACTCAAACAATCGACGCTTTTGATGTCTTCACCTTGCAACATTATGTAGTTAATTTTGGCCCTGAGAATGGGAGGTAATTGGAAATTATTTACGTGAGAGCCACTCAAACAACAAATCATCCCTTCTAGATTTGGTTTGCTCATCATACTGGTAGACTTTAGAACGCTACTTTCTACAGTTAATTAAGGTGAGAATACGTTACATAATTAATATTAATTCTCTTTATTAATCTGTAATGGCATTTCTTTTGACGATTGTCTATTGTATAGAGTATAAACTGAGGTTATGGCGTATCTGTAGTATTTAAAATATCTATTGTTCTCAGAATCTATGAAATTTCGTTTAACATTTATCTATTGTATACAGCTTAAATTGACTTTATCGTGGCACCTATGGTATTTTAATAATATCTATTGTCTACATAAAAGATTGACATCGTGTCTGTCGAATGTGACCTGCCTTATGTGAAGTTGACGTTGTCGCCATCTTATAATTCAGGTGTTTTACTTGCTTTTTGATGCGTGTTTTTAAGTGTGTTTAATCCAATCCTTAAGTAATAGTGTAATTAATACGTTTTTTTGTCCATTTCTGCAGATCGTTCATCAAATGAGTTCAGTTTGGTCGCACTGAAACATGTGATGTCCATATGGGTGTGGTCTTTGTGGCCTGATTATATATTCTTGATTTGCTGTTTCGTCTTCGCCTTATGTTACAAGGCAGTTAATTTTCAACCCATGAGGGAGAGCAACTGGAGATTTATCTGAAATCCACTGAAAACAAATTTTCTGTTGCGATATTCCTGGAGTTGCTTTGCTTTTCACACCTGTAAACCTTTGGAACTTTATGTTCTACAATTAATTAAGGTGAGAATACTTGATACAATTGATTTTAATTGCTCTTTATTAATCTGTAATGGCATTTCTTTTAACAATTGTTTATTGTCTGCAATATAAACCAAGGTTATGGCGTTTATATAGTATTTAAAATGTCTATTGTTCTCAACATCTATGGAATTCCGTTTAACGTTAATCTATTGTATACGGCTTAAATTGACATCGTGTCTGTTGAATGTGACCTGTCATTATGTAAACTTGACGTTTTTCGCCATTTTATAATTCAGGTGTTTTACTTGCTTTTTGGTGCCTGTTTTTAAATGTGTTTAATCCCTTCCTTAAGCAATAATGTAATTTACATGTTCTTTTCGTTCATTTCTGCAGATCGTTCATCAAATGAGTTCAGTTTGGTCGCACTGAAACATGTGATGTCCATATGGGTGTGGTCTTTGGTAGAATATATTCTTGATTTGCTGTTTCGTCTTCGCCTTGTAACACCTTGCAGTTAATTTTAAACCCATGAGGGAGAGCAACTGGAGATTTATCTGAATTCCACTGAAATAACAAATTTTCTGCTACGATGTTCCTGGAGTTGGTTTGCTTTTCACACCTGTAAACTTTGCAACATTACGTTCTACAATTAATTAAGGTGAGAATACTTGATACAATTGATTTTAATTGCTCTTTATTAATCTGTTACCACCGTATCTGTTTCAGATCGACGTTGGAGAAGACAAAGATGACCCCGTAGTTAAAATAGTTCTTTATTTTGCATGCTCTATCTAGTAGAATTTATTAAGTTCATTATATTCAAATTAATTTTTTATTTTGCATGTGTTTTTTGTAATTAATTTGATTTAGTTTTTATTTTGCATGCTTATTTTTGTTCATTTTGTTTTAAATAATTGTTGATTGTAGATGTTTTTTTTTTATGTAGTAGTAGTGTAGTGGTAGAAATAACACGTTTCGTAGTTGTAGTATAGTCTAACCTTGCTTACCTCTTCGCTTAGCTTACTGCATATTCTTCCTAATTTGCTTTGCATTTACCCTACGAGTTCTACATGATTCAACGTTTCGTTATCGTGTGTGTTTCTTCTCACCCTTGTGGAATTAGGGAGGGCCTCCCCGAACGACTTCCCTTGGGCTTAGCTATTTAGTTGATCTTAAAAGTGTCTTATACACTTTTCGCGAGTCTACTCTAGCGTTACTTCCTTTCAGACAGGGTACAGTGGGTTATCTGGAATAGGAGCAATAGGCGACTGCCCAGCTTGCCTTGGCGAAATCT